AGAACTTGATAGTAACTTAATGCCAAGCATGCTTGAACAATCATCCTAAAGGCAAAACAAATATTTGGCTCATTTTGCGATGACGTATGTATTTGATAATGTTCTACTTACCAAGCCGGCATGAATTCAAAATCACGTTCAATGATTCGAATGAAATTTTCGAAATCGAATAGCTCGGCATCTAGAAGTGTTGTTTTTCGTTCTTTGCTATCGCCACCATTCAATAGACCCCGACTAAAATCATTGTTTGGCTCATATCCCATTGAAAACAAATAGTATAATAAGAACGATATAATTTCTCCATCAACAATATCCATATTTTCATTAACAAATTGAAGCATCCGCTCACACAATTTTGGCACAATATACACTATCCTACTTAAACTGCTTGTTATACGTGAAATGGTACGGGCGTTGATAATAACATCGTCAGCGGAGCAAATGTCTTCGAGCTTTTGCGTTAATTTTTCGAGGATGTGTGTGTCTTTAAAACCTATGATTTAAATAAAAAATGAAATTTATCATTTATTTGGTTGGAAGTTTACTCGGCAAACAAACCTTTTTGGTAGGCATACGCCCTTATGAGGTAAGAAGTACTGTCAATTTGTAAATTTTTTTGTTCATCGACCATTCGTTCAATTTGTTTATCAACAACACGTTTTAATCGATTGATTCGTTCGGCTATATCTGCTTTAGTTCTTCGGTCCATACTGAAAAGCAAGAGAATAATCTTGTTATATGTCATCGAGTGGTGATAACCATTTTTTTTAAATCGTACTTCTGTGTGATTTTATTTTGATGAAAAAATTCGATACCCATCGAAATGTCCATGATGTCAGGAACAGATAATTGTGGTCCCATTTCTTCAATTTTTTTCACAAAATATAAAGGCATATACGATCAAGCGAAGGATCATTTGCATATGCAATTATGAATGTGGATAATGAGGCTAAATGGCTTGGCTTCCATTGTGTTACACCGTGTTTGATTTCAATTAGTGTCAATTCTCTCAGCAACGATTCAAACGTTCTACATCGAAATCGATGATTTGTCCTTTTTTGTACTAGACAATATCGAAATGAGAGTTCGCATAAAATTGAGTCTATCTGTAAACCTTGATTGTTGATTCGGCTTAAATCTTCGGCACATTTACTCCAATACATTCGAAAATTATTTCGCATGCTATTGTCTTGCTTTTTCTGAAGAACCCAAAAGAGTATTTTATTTTTTATAATGTCCTTTGAATCTAAATTTTCGATTATTTTTTCCAAATCTTTTGAAATATTTTCCAAATTCTCAGGCGTTTTTCTAGCTAATCGACAGTAAATCAGATTAAGATCAGTTGACTTGGTCGGCCGTGATTCGGCTGTTTCAACAATTTTTTTAATCAATGATGCCGGTTCATTGACACTGTCTCGATACTGTAAGATTAGAATAGATTGACATTAATTTTAAAACAATTATTGCTATGAATAATGCTGATATAACATACCAAGGCGAAATTACAAAGTTCCGAATTGGATAAATTTGGTATTTCGGGTGCCATCATTAACAACATATTCCTTATAAGCCTTTGATGCCTTTTGCCTCTATACAAATTGTAAAAATTTAAAACCTGCAAAAAAAAAACATCAACGTTACACAAAAGCATATAGTTATCAGATTTGAATTGCTTCTCATACCTCGAATAATCCACGCAGATTAGCTTTGGTATCAAAAGATCGATCTTCTAAGAAAATTTTCATTTTCTCCTTGTGTATGCTCAAGAATTCTTTTGTACATAAAGTTGACAAACTTTTAAAGCACAATGTTACATAATGGAAATCCTGAAAGTTTTCACATTTGCTTAAATGTTCAAGAACATGTGAATTGGCTTGAGCACATAGGTAATGTGGGTACACTTTATCTTGATTTTCATGAGCATAGATTGCCAAATTGGTTAATGGTATCAATGGAAACTCCTTCAAATCTGTAAATGTTGAATCAATGAAATTGTAAGTATTTATCCGAATGAGATATTCCACAATGAAATGTCTGGTACCAATTTTATGCTCATTTTTACCTTTAAGCATGTGAATTATTTTTATTGTGAGGTCTCGATTGACTGGATGGTGCAGTGGAACGATCAATAGATTTAATGCGATTAGCGCTGATACTGCATCATCGGGCGACATTTGTTCAACATTACGGCTCAAGCGATTCAAAAACGAATTGCATTCATCAGTTTCAAATGAACATGAAACACCACATTTTGAAGCCAATATCACATAATTTACGATTGATTGAACATCACTATCTAATATTTCGTTGGTATTGAATAAATCTTGCACATTTTCGGCGTGGATGTCATTTAGTGAGGGCAAACGAATTTTTGTCGAAGTGCTCAAAGCGTTGTGTAGCTGGTTCACATCTGATACTAGGTACTGACACCAGGTATTCTGTGACGACTGCTTCTCAGAATTGCTGGTGAGAAATATGGATGGCACTGAACAAACATTTTTATAAGTACACAAACGAATTCTCTCCAAATGTCCATTTAACGGACGAAATGTTATTAATTTCAACATTTTAAACACCTTTTCGTCATTTGATTCAATGTTTATTGACACATTCGTTAAAACCTTATTTTGATATGTTTGTTTTGAAGGTTAGGATA